TAAAATGCTTTAAAGTTACCAGCTTAAAGTTACCAGTTATTTAGAATTATATCTTGCTCTCAGTAACCCAAATTAAAGATGCTTTCAGTTGGAACCTGTAGCTTACTGTTTAACTTTAGCTCTATCTGCAATAGTATCTATTGGAACCTAGAAACAAATGTAAGCATCTATTTACTTCACATTACATTAAGTTACAGAACAAGTTGCATTTTTTCTTTTCCCTTTTTTTTTTTTTAAAGAAAGGCTAAATCACTTATCTCTTACTCCACCCCTCTCTGCTAAGGGGTGGGAGGGAAAGCTACAGAAATGTAGGCCCTTAGGGTGTTTGGATGTGGTCAAGACAAAAGAAACTGGGAGAGCAAGTTAGGCGAAGGGCTGAAGCAGAAAAGTTTTAAACAGGAAATCTTTGCTTCCCAGTGGGGAGCAAATGGAGACCTTCAAACAGTGGGGGATGGCAGGGAGAGAAAAGGCAAGATGGCGGACAGAGGGAGAGGGTGGGGGTCAACTGCACATGGAGGACAAGATGGCGGTTGCACGTGGCACCAGAGCCCTGGAAGAGGGCACTGGGGTTTCCTACTTCATGGCTAGAAAACTACGGAAAAGACAGCCGAGAGTGAAGAGGGAATGAGACTTCCCCCGATTTTTCCGAATGCATGCAGCAATGAGCTAGGTTCCAAAAGATGTCCGGATGTGAAATGCCATTAACTGGCCACTTGAAGGAGTTAGCTAGGGAATACTGGGGCCAATCCACAACACAGAGGCGTATTAAAGTATTAGGTAACAAGCCAATTAAAGGGTGTCTAAATTTGCTAGAAGACAGCCCAAAGGGGTGTTGGGAGGAACTGGCAACGAAAAAATAGCTCCCATTATTACAACTCAGGACTGATTACCACGGTGGACCCAGTGGTCCATAAAAACGACCCAGTGGTCAGGAAATGACGGCTCTCGTAGAAGGTCGTCACCCCCTATGTAAGGGACGAGCCAGGTCCCCAAACACCACCTGTATCCGAAGTCGTTAACAGCCCAGTGGCCCGACTCGGAGGGACAGGGGGGCCCCCAGAGTGACCCAGTGGTCGGGGGACTTCAGCCCAGTGGCTAAGAGACACGGCACTTGGCCGGGGTTTACAGAACCGGTCTCCCAAAAACTCCCAGAAGTGGAAAATCAGACCTATTTGGAGGAGCACAAATATGCCAAGCCAAACCCAAAACTCCAAGGGCTGAGGAAGGGAACCCTATCTACAACAGTGTATGCATTATGCATGCAACAACTTGGCATTCGGAAAGATGGGGAATACCTCGTGTGCTCCATGTGGAGATGGAGTACCGGGGAGCACGCGTCTGGGCAATGGTGCTGCTGGATGGATGCAGATGCCAGCACGGTCAAGTTAGATGAACTCAGGAACGGCCACACGGAGGTAGAAAATTCTGGAACCAGCAGGCGAAATCAGGAACAGGCCGAAGAGGCAAAATCAGGTACAGGCCGTTGGAGATGAATTCACGAAGCAGCGGGCGGATGGAGACAGATTCTGATGGCTGCTGACGAGTCTCGGTGGCGCAGATGAAGACAGTTAACACAGATCACAGTTCTCACGGTTCGGGTCCCGGTAGTGGCCAAAGGCCCGAGGGCCACGTGGCCAAGTGCCGGGGGAAACCGACTGGTCACGGCACCAAATGTTAGTTATTTAAAAGAATGCTGCCCTCTTCCATGCAATCTGACAATGGTCCGGAGTTTATCTCCCAAGTGACCCAATTAATTTTTCTGCGCCTTAAACATCCCGTGGCACTTCCACATCCCATATCACCCCAAGTCCTCTGGAAAGGTTGAAGGTACTAATAGGACCCTAAAATCTCTCCTCACCAAGCTTACCCTAGAACTCCATCTGGACTGGGTGTCCCTACTACCCCTTGTCCTATTACGACTGAGATCCCTTCCCAAAAAACCGTTACTTATATCCCCTTTTGAGCTTATGTATGGCCGCCCGGTCTTACCCCCCTCACTGGCTGCTGAACCTACAGCCATTGACCCCTCTCTCCTCACCCCCCTTTTAATCTATCTACGACACCTTCTTTGGTCACATGCAGACAAACTCCTTCCCTCGCCTCAACCCCTTAGCTCTTCCTTGCAGCCTGGAGACCTAGTTCTCTACCGCTCTCCCTCCACACCCTCTTCACCCCTCACACCCAAATGGCAGGGCCCCGTTAAGGTTATACTGACCACTCCCACGGCTGCCAAAGTTGAAGGCTTGCCCTATTGGATTCATAACTCCCACCTAAAACTTTTTACCCCACCTCCAGATACATCTGTTAATCCCCCTGCTATCACGGAGATACCCCCGGAGATTGAAGCTTCCTATCAAGACCAATCCTCGGAGACCACATATTCCTGCGAACCTCTGGAGGGACTTAAACTGCTTTTTAGGAAGACTTCCGATAAGTAACTCCCACTTCAGTTCATTACTCTAGCTCTCAGGTAGTCTTGGCTCTGTCATTCTTCTCCCCCAGCACCTCTATAGGATGATTTTCTATTATTGGCTGTTTGCCACCCTCCCCATAGCTAGCCTTAGCCAAGCTCCGATCCAACCCCCTCCTGCCTTGATATGGCAGTTTTACATAAGGGAAACCTACCAGGATGATACCCAAACTATTGGGACCCGTTATTGTCCTCCAACAGGGTGCTCCACTCCTTTGTTCATACCTATTAAGCCTCGATCAATCGGGTTTTGGGCCACTTCCAACCCATATCTGTGCCTGCTGCATGACCAGACACGTGCCTATTGCAAGGCAGATTCTATCTATGGAGACTTTTATGGAGGATGTCCCTAATGGTCATGTACAATCCATTATCCCCATGAGACTGGTTATGTTTTTAGACATAACTCCATGGGTACATACATAAAAATAAGAGACCCATGGGACAGCAGATGGATTACTCCTCAGAAGGGCTGTCTTTACCCCCATAGCTATGTCACTTCTCCCTCCGGAATCATATACATATATAGACAGCTAGACCCCAATCCAGATAAAGTTACTGCAGTAGTTGCCCACATTCTTAATTCTGAAACTTCCCTTTCCAATTCCTTAGAGTCAGATAGCCATCTGAATGCCCCAAACTCTTGGTTCAAAATCTTAACTATTACCTTAGACATGCTCAACTCCACATCTCTTTTGCCCAACCTCACTGAGTGCTTCCTCTGTGCCTCACTGAAGCGACCCATTCTGGCTGTGGTACCCATTATCAATGCAGGCAGCAGTCAAACCCCAACCCCTTCCCAATCAGTTTCTCCTTTAGGTGCTGTTCCCCTATGGGACCCATTAGCTCATAACCTGACCTGCTATAACACTTCCAGGACCTATCATAAGCACCTCCCCTGCTCTACCATAATTCAGGTGACCAAGCCTACTTCCTCTCCTAAAGGTTCGTTCATGTGGTGTAACGGTTCTATATATAACACTATCAATTCCACCTCACCTGGCCCTTGCCTTCCAGTAATAATCGTGCCCCAGTTGTCTTTGGTTAGTGAGGGAGAACTCTCATGGATGCTTTCCTCATCAGAGCGTCAAAGGCGTGCAGTTTTTCTCCCAGTGCTTGTGGGGGCGTCCATAATTGCTTCCTTGTCTTCCCTTGGATTAGCAGCAGGGAGCCTGGGATACTCAATCACCTCAATCCAGCAGCTGTCAGAGGAGCTCAAATCGGCCCTAGATAACACTGCTCTCCCTAGCCTCTCTCCAGCGCCAACTTAACTCCTTGGCTCAGGTAACTCTCCAGAACAGAAGGGCTCTGGACCTTCTTACTGCAGAAAAGGGAGGCACCTGCATGTTCCTCCATGAGGAATGTTGCTTTTACGTTAACGAGTCGGGGATAGTTGAGCAGAATGTTAAACATCTGTTAGACATCAAGGATCATCTCCAACAGTCTGAAACTAATAGCAATTCCTGGTATTCTTGGGCTCAGTCTCCTCTAATGTCTACGCTTGCCCCTCTTCTCACCCCTCTGATAATACTTGTTGCAGGACTCGCTATGGCCCCTTGCTTCATCAATTTTCTTCAAAAGTTTATTCTTGCTCAAATAGAAAAAATCATTAACAACACAGCTAACCAGCTTCTTTTGCAGGGTTACGAGCCTCTCCCAGTCTCTCATTCCTCCCCCGGCCACCAGGAGACCACTGATTAGAGGACACTACGCCCAAATTCAGCTTGAAGAAGTTACAGAAGAAAACTGCGCCCCTTTTCCTTTTATATATAGAAAAAGGGAGGAATGTGAGGAGTGATTTGAAAGTCATCACCGAGACTGATGCCCTGCACCTGCGCCATTTCTTCTTCCTCACAGCTCACGGAATTCGCGCCAATCCAGCCACCCACCAATCGGACGTAACCTGGCATTCCACCTGAGAATCCCACCCCAATCTCCCAGCCCCTTCCCCAACCCCGCCCACTCACCAATCATCCCCAGGCATTTACCTGCAGGCACTAATCCCCTGAGGCCTGCCCTCAAACCCCCACAATCCCCGCCCCCCCTTACACCTTCCGGGCCTACCTGCATAAAAGGCCCCAGGTGTTTCCTTCTGCCTCTTTTCTCCTCCTGACCTCCACTACCTCCACCTTGTTCCTGCCCCGCTGGAATAAACCTCCTAAGATACCTCGTTGCGTCTGGTGTTTTCAGCTCACGGTAAAGAACCAGGTTGCGAGAATTAGCTGCGCATAAAGTCTCTTAATATCCTATAACCTAGAACTAGAACTCTTCCATTCTTTTAAATAACTAACAAAGACCATGTCAGAACTGCTTTCTGTCTTGTCCCAATGCAACTCTGGGGCCCAGGGCTGGGGGTTGGAGGCCCACCACCAGCGTTCCACAACGGGGATGTGGTGAAGACAGGAAGGGGGGTCTCTAAGCTAAATCACAGCCAAGCACAGGAGGGGGCGGGCAGGAACCGGTCTCCCGGTGGTGCAGGTGCGCCCCGCCCCTTCGGTGCCCACTTCCCGCGGACGGTACCTGGAGGAACAGCTCGTAAAGAATCTCTTCCCGCACTCGAGCCTCTAAATTGCCCACAAACACCGTCCTATCGGCCTCCTCCTGAGCAGGGAACATCTTCCGGTCAGGGCCCCGGGATGGATGAGGCGCCAAGACCCCGCCCCTCGGCCGGCGGAGGGGGCCGAACCGGTGACGAGCGCGCCCTGGGCGGAGCGGCTCCGCTGGGCACGCCTCCAGGGGCGCACGGGCTGGGCACGCCTCCAGGGGCGCACGGGCTGGGCACGCCTCCAGGGGCGCACGGCCGCTCACTCCCCGGGCGGATCGGCGAGTCAGGAGAACGCGCCAAGCCTTGGACGCTAATTTTTTTTTTTTTTTTTTAATTTACTTAACCAACGTTTTAAATCAAAACAATACAGATAAGACTTAAGATACACTCGTGGTAACCTCACCAGAAAACCTCCTAGGCTGATGAAACAAGATTAGTTTTGTCTTCAGAGTAAATAAATGAGTCATGAACATTTTATAATAGAATTATTCATAAAATACATTCTGGGGCCTGGCTACATTCTCGCGTTGCAACCGCTGGGATCCCATATGGGATAGGGGGGAGACTCATGTCCCGGCTGCTCTACTGCTTGTGGCCTGGGAAAACAGTCAAGGACGGCCCAAAGCCTTGGGGTCCTGCATCCCAGCATGGGAGTCCCAAAAGATACTCCAGGCTCCTGGCTTCGGATTGGCTCAGCTCCTGCATTGTGGCCACCTGGGAAGTGAACCAAAGACCAGATCTTTCTGTTTTCCCTGTATATTTGCCTTTCCAATAAAAATAAATAAAATTTTAAAAATCTGTAAACATGAATATCCGCATAGATGTGGATTTACGAGAGTACTAGAATTAAAGTTTACACAGGAAGCTTTGACAATAACGGGAAGTTTTAGGTGGACTCCATAAGGCAGTTGAGACTTCCAGAGCAGGCGAGGCCAAGGAATATGAGAAAAAGCACAGCAGAGTTTTGCGACTGAAACAAAAATGCCTAAGGATGGCAACCAGATTGTAACAGGATGTAACATTTTCCTGGGAATTAAGCTATTCATATTTGTACTGGGGTTAAAAGTTGGTTTGAGGGACTGGCATGTGCAACTTAGTAAAGCTGCTGCCTGGAACAATACATCCCATAGGGGTACCTGTCTGGTCAGCTCCTGCTAATGCGCTGAAAAAAACCAACCGCCGGCCCCGAGCGGGAGACCTGGATGAAAGTCCTGGCTCCTGACTTTCCCTTAGCCAAGCGCTGCACGTTCTCATCATCTGGGGGAGTGAAACAGCGGATGGAAGATCTCTTTCTTTTTCTGTGAGACTCTCAAATAAACAGATTTTTTTTTAAGTTCTTTCCTTTTTGGAGAGGATCTTTTTTGTTTGTTTTGATAAATCTTAAAATCAATAAAAATAATTAAATGAAGCATTAAAGAAAACTTAGGATCACAGTAATTTGATAGCCAACTGGTAACTTAGTTTTCTATTGGAAACTTGAGATACTTGAAATACTCCTGTGTCATGTGAGTACTAAGAATCATGTGGCCTTCAGGTTGGTACTCTGAGGATGCTACTCAGCCAGCAAAAAAATAAATACATAAATAAAAATAAAAATCCTGTCTTTCACAACAAAATGGATCAACTAGAAACCATTATGCTTAGTGAAATAAGCTAATTTCAAAATTACAAGTAGGATATGTGGCCACTAACATAGAACACACCAAAAAGTGAAGGGGTGAGATGATCACTTGGGGATACGACTGTGCTAAGCTACGCTCCCACTTCAGTGGAAATTTGGTCCTGTGGTCTTTCTTTTTGTTTGGTGACTCTTACGATTGGTGGAAAATTAAGCCTGTGACCAGCAAGTGGATTCTGTCTGCGCATGCACTGCTGAGGAACGGGAGATCAGGAGACATGGGGGATGGGAAGCAGGGCAACAAGGACAGTGTGACTGCCAGCCTGAAGCTTTGGCTATGCAATGCAAACAATCTGATCTTTTTATATTATTAAAAATGCAAAAAAGAGATTTAGTTTCGACTTGGTTGATGGACCAGAAAAGTAATCTGTTTTAGTCAAAAGGGACATGTGTTGGGACATCTAATTTCTGTTGAACTCTGACATTACTTAGTTTTATGACATGGAGTAATTTCTCTTTGGAATTCTGGTTGTGTTTCTTCAGAATTGATTGAGCTAAAAACAATTATTTCACTCAGCAGGTATTTTCTGCTTACTTATCCTGTGTTAGCCAGAGCCATTAATCCTTGGGAAATAAAACAAAGTGTAAAAATCTACATGGAGAAAAAGACAGAACATCTTTACATACAAATAAGCAATTTGTCTGCAACTTCGATGTTGCTTTTATTTGGCATGACTATAAAACTCCATATTCCTTTTCTTTCATTTCCACTCTCATTAGCGTAATTGCTGTGGCAGAGCAAGGAGTTAAAGACGCTAGAAAATTGTACACACACAAAAGTGTATGGTGATGAAATCAATGAATACATGCAAGCATCTCACATATGTAGAACTCTTGATACATTTGGTGTCATTTACCTCATCAGCCTAATGCAAACTAGCATACTTTCCACTAAACCACTCTTAAGAAACTGCTGAGCTGAGAAACTGTATCTTCAGGTTCATTGTAAAATATCAGTCCATATATATTACTGTGCTTGTGAAAGACTTTTATTTTGTAGATAATTATATGTACATACATATATATAATCATAATGCAATATTTAAAATTTAATCTTTCTTTTTCTAGGAATATGCAATATTATGGTCTCTTTTTGGTTGTGGATAAGTTTATGCTGACTGTGATTTTAAAGTATTCTTCAAAGTAATGAGTTCTGAAAGCTTATGCAGTTGGCTGTTTTGTTCCAACTTTGGCCTCAATACTTCATTTGCTAATGTATGCTGAATGCATGCATGATAATAAATTCAGAAGTAGCCAAAAATGTTTAAACATTAATTTGGAACATATTTACCTGTAAGGTTTTATGAGTAATGTGGTCAGCACACAATAAAAAATAGGCTATTCTCCCCCTTCACACCAGAATGTGTTATAAACTGTCTGATCACCTAGGGCCTGGAACACTTAGTGGCTAAAATCCTCACCCTTCATGTACATTATATATGGGAGCTGGTTTGTGTGCCAGCTGCTCCACTTCCCACCCAGCTTCTTGCTTGTGGCCTGGGAAAGCAGTGGAGGATGGCCCAAAGCCTTGGAACCCTGAACCCATGAGGGAGACCCAGAAGAGGCTCCTGGCTCCTGGTTTCAGATAAGCTTAGCTCTGGTCTTTGTGGTGACTTGCGGAGTGAATCCATTGATGGAAGATCATTTTCTTTGTCTCTCCTTTTCTCAGTATAGCTGCTTTGCTAATAAAAATAAGTAAATCTTTAAGAAAAACACATTATATGAGCACATTAAAATATCCCAATCAAAATCCTAACAGCATTCTTCTCAGAATCAGAAAAGATGATTCAACAGTTCATCCAAAGACGCAAGATGCCTAAAGAGCAAAAGCTATCCTGAAGAACAAAAATCAAACTTGAAGAATCAAAATGTAAGATCATATGCATAACATCTGCGTGAACACACGTGCAAACACATGTGCGTGTACACACACACACACACACTGAGAGCTTCTTCTCTCTGTTCAGCTGACACTTATTCCATAGTGTGCTCACCAGGCAGCACATCTTGTAGTGCTTGCCTGAATTCCCAGTCTACATGAGTTGGCTTCCTCCCCTGCATGGTTCTCTAGCTCCTTATGTATATTTTTCTAAGTCCTCCTCACTGAGAATTACAATAGGATAAATATATTTCAGGACCTAGCACACTCTTTGACTTGTCTGTATGTCTGTAATATTGCACGAGGCAATTGTAGTTATAACAATTTGAGTAAATGCACATCTCTACATGGTATCCTCGATTCTATGCCTGGAATGTTACAGCTGCCTAATAAACATCGCAAAAATGAATAAACAAATGATGGAACTTGGATAGTTATTGTTAAAAGACTGATGAATGCTTTTAAACAATTGCTTCATGTTACCACATTTTGATTTTCCTCATCAATTTTTTCCTAAGCCCACCATTTCAGTATTATTTTAGATGTGTTCAATGTTTATTATAAACTATATTTAGAATGAAAGAAATTATCAAGAAAATAAAAATTAAAAATAAATCTACATCTATTATACAGAGATAAATATTTTGGAAGAAAGTCACCCAAACTTGGAAGTATAGGTACAATATATTTTAGGAAAACGACTATATTGCATGTAGTGTTGTTTTTCTGGCTTGCCCTTTTCTTACTAAAATTGTGACGAAGGCGATCTATACCAATGAATATCTATTTATGTAATTAAGTTTTATATACATTATGTTTGACATCCATTGTTTGACATCCATATTGATTTCATTTTCTGGATGTTATAAGAATGCTTGGAATAGCATACTTGTATAGCTTTATGTTTGTGTGAACTATTACCATAGATAAGCCTTTTGCATGCGTAGAAAACTACTTTCAATATTTCTGTAGAAAAAATATATTCGATTTCTGTAGCAAAGCTTACATTGGTAATTGTTGAGTCATATCATAAGATTAGTAAACATTTTTTTTCCATATTGTTAAAGATTTGTTGCAATGTGTTTTAATAAAAGTGGCACACCTTCATCTCAGTAAATAATTACCTATTATGGTTACCTATAAATATTTTCAAGCATCCCTAGTACATGAAATTCAATCAATTTTACATCATTATAATCACCACTATCATTATTGTCAACATTATCATTACCTTTCAGTTATTTGCGGTGTTTGCATGTATTTATGTTATTTTTAGCTTCTGGAGGTAGATTGACAGAGATGAGGAATGCATGTGTGTGTGAGAGAGAAGCAGAGAAAGTCAGACAGAACCAGAGAGTTGGAAAGAAATTTTTCATCTGTTGATCCTCTCTTCAAATGTGGCGACAGCTGAGACTGGGCTAGTCCCAAGCCAGGTACTGAGGAATCAAGTCAGGGCTCTCCTGTGGGTTGCAAGGGCTTAATGACATGAGCCACCACCTGCTGCCTGTCCTGGT